TAAGATAAGACTGATTTTGGCAGATGACTTCTTCTGAGACAAACGAGGGCGGGTGGGCGGGGCTAGTCCTTACAAAGATAAGACTGAACAATATTAAGAGTAGTTACTTGAATGAAGTCGGTGTGCGGGGCTATTGCTTCCTCATAAGACTGTAGAAAAAAGTGAATCTTACTTAACGTAAAAAGTACAAAAAAAAGTTACAATTGTCGCTTTTTATTATTTATTTTTTTATTATAACTTAGGTTCTATTGGTTCCCACTGTCACTCTAGAGAAAAATATTTAATTAACCCCGACCACCCGCCCCACCTCTATTTCACTGATTAATTTTATCTGCTCAGAATGAAAAATGCATATTTTTCTGGCTAGAAATAAAATTAACGACAGGGTGGGTGGGCGGGGCTAGCACTTGTTAAGATAAGACTGATTTTGCCAAATGATTTCTTCTGAGAAAATAGAGGGTGCGTGGGCGGGGCTAGTCCTTACAAAGATAAGACTGAACAATATTAAGAGTAGTTACTTGAATGAAGTCGGTGTGCGGGGCTATTGCTTCCTCATAAGACTGTAGAAAAAGTTAATCTTACATAATGTAAAAAGTATAAAAAAAGTTACAATTGTCACTTTTTTTTATTTATTTTTTTATTATAACCCAGGTTCTATTTGTTCCCACTCTCACTCTACATAAAAATATTTAATTAACCCCGCCCACCCACCCTACCTCTATTTCACTGATCAATTTTATCTGCTCAGAACGAAAAATGCATATTTTCCTGGCTAGAAATATAATTAAGGATAGGGTGAGTGGGCGGGGCTAGCACTTGTTAAGATAAGACTGATTTTGGCAGATGACTTCTTCTGAGAAAATAGAGGGTGGGTGGGCGGGGCTAGTACTTAACAAAGATAAGACTGAACAGTATTAAGAGTAGTTACTCGAATGAAGTAAGTGGGCGGGGTTATTGCTTCCTCATAAGACTGTAGAAAAAAGTTAATCTTAATTAACGTAAAAAGTAAAAAAAAAAGTTACAATTTGCGCTTTTTTTATTTATTATTATTATTATTATAACCTAGATTCTATTGGTTCCCACTCTCACTCTACATAAAAATATTTAATTAACCCCGCCCACCCACCCTACCTCTATTTCACTGATTAATTTTATCTGCTCAGAACGAAAAATGCATCTTCTTCTGGCTAGAAATAAAATTAAGGACAGGGTGTGTGGGCGGGGCTAGCACTTGTTAAGATAAGACTGATTTTAGCAGATGACTTCTTCTGAGAAAAACGAGGGAGGGTGGGCGGGGCTAGTATTTACCAAGATAAAACCGAACAATAATAAGAGTAGTTACTAGAATGAAGTAAGTGGGCGGGGCTACTGTTTACTCATAATCATACGACTGTAGAAAAAAGTTTATCTTACTTAAAGTAAATAGTGCAAAAAAGTTACAATTTCCACTTTTTTTTTTATTTATTTATTTTTTTTATAGCCTAGGTTCTGTTAGGTCCCATTCTCACTCTACAAAAGAACATATAATTAACCCCGCCCACCCACCCTACCTCTATTTCACTGATTAATTTTATCTGCTCAGAATGAAAATTGCATCTTTTTCTGGCTAGAAATAAAATTAAGGAAAGTGTGGGCGGGCGGGGCTAGCACTCGTTAAGATAAGACTGATTTTAGCAGATGACTTCTTCTGGGAAAATAGAGGGTAGGTGGGCGGGGCTAGTACTTGTTAAGATAAGACTGATTTTGGCAAATGACTTCTTCTGAGAAAATAGAGGGTCGGTGGAGGGGGCTAGTACTTAGAAAGATAAGACTGAACAGTATTAAGAGTAGTTACTCAAATGAAGTTAAGTGTGCAGGGCTATTGCTTCCTCATAAAACTGTAGAAAAAAGTTAATCTTAATTAACGTAAAAAGTACAAAAAAAAGTTACAATTGCCGCTTTTTTCATTTATTATTATTATTATTACGTAGATTTTATTGGTTCCCACTCTCGCTCTATAGAAAAATATTTAATTAACCCCGCCCACCCACCCCTCCTCTATTTAACTGATTAATTTTATCTGCTCAGAACGAAAAATGCATCTTTTTCTGGCTAGAAATATAATTAAGGATAGGGTGGGTGGGCGGGGCTAGCACTTGTTAAGATAAGACTGATTTTAGCAGATGACTTCTTCTGAGAAAAACGAGGGCGGGTGGACGGGGCTAGTACTTAACAAAGATAAGACTGAACAATATTAAGAGTAGTTACTCGAATGAAGTAGGTCTGCGGGACTATTGCTTCCTCATAAGACTGTAGAAAAAGTTAATCTTAATTAACGTAAAAAGTAGAAAAAAAAGTTACAATTGCCGCTTTTTTTATTTATTATTATTGTTATAAGCTAGATTCTATTGGTTCCCACTCTCACTCTACATAAAAATATTTAATTAACCCCGCTCACCCGCCCTACCTCTATTTCACTGATTAATTTTATCTGCTCAGAATGAAAATTGCATCTTTTTCTGGCTAGAAATAAAATTAAGGAAAGGGTGGGCGGGCGGGGCTAGCACTTGTTAAGATAAGACTGATTTTAGCAGATGACTTCTTCTGAGAAAATAGAGGGTGGGTGGGCGGGGCTAGTATTTACCAAGATAAAACTGAACAATATTAAGAGTAGTTACTAGAATGAAGTAAGTGGGCGGGGCTACTGTTTGCTCATAATCATACAACTGTAGAAAAAAGTTTATCTTACTTAAAGTAAATAGTGCAAAAAAAGTTACAATTTCCACTTTTTTTTTGTTTATTTATTTTTTTTATAGCCTAGGTTTTGTTAGGTCCCATTCTCACTCTACAAAAGAACATATAATTAACCCCGCCCACCCACCCTACCTCTATTTCACTGATTAATTTTATCTGCTCAGAACGAAAAATGCATCTTCTTCAGGCTAGAAATAAAATTAAGGATAGGGTGGGTGGGCGGGGCTAGCACTTGTTAAGATAAGAGTGATTTCGGCAAATGACTTCTTCTGAAAAAATAGAGGTTGGGTGGGCGGGGCTAGTACTTAACAAAGATAAGACTGAACAATATTAAGAGTAGTTACTCGAATGAAGTAGGTGTGCGGGGCTATTGCTTCCTCATAAGACTGTAGAAAAAAGTTAATCTTAATTAACGTAAAAAGTACAAAAAAAAGTTACAATTGCCGCTTTTTTTATTTATTATTATTATCATAACCTAGATTCTATTGGTTCCCACTCTCACTCTACATAAAAATATTTAATTAACCCCGCCCACCCACCCTACCTCTATTTCACTGATTAATTTTATCTGCTCAGAACGAAAAATGCATCTTTTTCTGGCTATAAATAAAATTAAGAATAGGGCGGGTGGGCAGGGCTAGCACTTGTTAAGATAAGACTGATTTTGGCAGACGACTTTTTCTGAGAAAATAGAGGGTGGGTGGGCCGGGCTAGTACTTACAAAGATAAGAGTGAACGTTTTATTTCTATCCGCATTTTTCCTTCCTCTCCCCTACTTTTCTTTCATCCTTTTCCGTCTGCGATTTAATATTTCAAATCTTCAATAATATTATTAAACATTTTTGCTCTTTTAATGAGATGAAAATAAAAAAAGGGGTCAACACACCTACTTAAAATCCTTTAACATTTAAAAAAAATCCGTTATACACGACCTGCCGTTCTAGTGCCATAACAGTAAATTGCAGCACTGCCCCAATTTTTTAACAAAATAAAAATTCAACTGACTACAAAAACTCGAGTCGTTGATAACTTTTTTCAGTTGCATGTACTCGTGTGACCGTACGCCTCGATTACGTCTCGTTGTAGCAAACCCAGCGAACTTAATGCATGATAATCAAATACCCAAATAATATATTCAGCACTGCCCTCCAACCCAAAAAAAAACAAATTTCGGAGTTTTGAGATTACAAGGACAAACTGGTCTCAAACTAGTCCGACCACAAAAAGGCTAAAAAGCCTTAAAACAACTTTTTGTTTTAAGCGTATTTCCACTAAAACGGGTTATAAAAATCTAAATGGGCATAAATTAGCTACCGCTTGATGTATTATAGGGCACAAAAAATGGAAATACCAGAAATCGTGAAAGCAATAAACTTCGAATGGGTAATTGATGTCCGGAATAAAAGTTCACACTCTGACTCCGTTAGAGAATTTGCGTCTGGTTGAAATTAGTAAATCATCGCAAGAAGAGTGTGAAATTCAATTGGAAGCGTATTTTGCGCCTCGTCCTAATAACGGACCCGACTAGCCCCAAATGCGCCCAACGTTGCATCCCAGATTCGTCATTTGAACGAAGCGGCACACGAAAATTGCAACGAAACAACGGGAAGATTAAACGCAGCACAGAAAGTGGCGAAGAAATAACATGCGACAAAAATGATAATCTTCTAGTATCACAGTTATAAAAAAAAATAAAAAAACCCTTGAAAACTAGTTTCGTAAATTATCATGAACGTGTTTTTTTCTCAAAAATGACAACGAATCGAAGTTGTAAGCCTTCAAAAAACGAGGAATTTTATTTAAATATTCGACCAGCTGGAGTAGTTTTGATAAGATTCTTCAATTTGAATACGACATTTTTAAAAACCAAAATTTTCCACGTTTTTTTTTTTTCAAACTTTTGTGCGTTATTCAGTTGCTTAAGCGGCGAAAGTGCGAAAATTTGGCAATTGCATCTTGCAACGGATTTTCCCGCCCCGAATTTTTATGGGAAATTAGCGGATTGCTCATCGCAGTTGCGTGTTCTTCAAGGCCGCGATTTTCCTCTTGTGCTCGAACAAAAAAAATATTTATGGGTCAGCGACTGGTGGTGGACATGAGGAAGACTAGAGGTCGAAGAATTTGCATTTGAATTGCTAAATAGCCGGAGTGAATTATTTTATTAGTCAAGAATAGGAGAATAATAGCGTAATTGGCTCGACGATACAGGGTGACCCAAGAAAGCGCTTAAGCCGGCCGGATTAGTATGAGGCGCAGGCGGCCGGTAAATTCAGACACGTGTCGGATTGTGTCAGAGGAATCTTGATTTCAGACATGTGGTTTAGCGTGAGGTGTTTATATATTAAAATTTATGAACTGCGCTAGTTCTGGAAGAACTTGGTGTGGTCGAGTCGAGTTCATTAATTTTACTAGGACCTTGTTGGGCAACGAAGAGATATTATCGGGCTGGTAAAGGAAATGGGTTTACTTGAAGTTTGATCCTGCTGATAATGTCACGAGCGTTTCAAACAAGACACCATGAGAAGACTTCCTGTAAGTTAGGTTTGTACCTTACATTTGTTTTCTTTTTATTTTTGTTTTTTGAAAGTTTATTTAAAAAATATGTTAATTTTAATATGGAAGTGCTAAACAGTAGATACTGTCATGATAAAGTCCATTATTATTATTACTCATCATTTATATTATTTTAACCTCTGTTACTATTAAAAGAAAAGTAAAAATAAGTGAGTACACATGATACGATAATTTCGATACTTAAATCGCACATTCGAGGTATCAACCTCAACAAGATAAACTTTTTTAATGATTAAGCTAATTGTCATTGTCAGGCCATTACCCCTACCATTGATATTACCACCTTGTCACAATCGGTGAACTTTTCCGCTCCTTTAAAATGTGACGGGACCTTAGCAACTGGTTAGCAAAAATAACAGTCTCGTTTTGGACTCTTAAGTGATTTTCCGCTACTAATAAAACGACTTTTTTCATTAATCTTCACTTAATTTCGAGAAGGTGGGTTTTGTAATTACTGGGAAGTTCCCAATTTTGCTTAAAATTAATCATTTGTGGAATAATTCCGTCCTCTACTATAACGATTTTTGTAATTTAAATTATGCTGTGGCAATTAAGAGATAATTGACGTAAAAATTTTCGACAAAAAGTCCAAACCTGATATTTGCCAACGTCAAAGTACAAGCTTCAAGAAATTGATCCGTTTATAAACAGGATTCTGTAGTGCAGGGTGGTCAGTTTGACGTCAATGAATTTCTCTTTTTGCCTGGAATGTACATTAAGTCCGTATTTTTCTTTGTTTCTTGTTTTTTGCAGAATTTCTTCTTGAACATTCCCGTTCTTATTTTTTATTACCACTGTGTTCTTTTTCATTTAGATTATATTGGCATCACGAACGCGTTCGCTAGTCGAGTTCATTATCAGGACGAAGCGCAGATTCCACAGCCAACTTGGATAGTCGGCGAATTGTCATAACTCTGAATACTTACCTATGGTTTGTTTTAAGCAATTAAAAAAATAAAATAAAAGACAGAGTGATGTGGTTTAAATTTTTCATCAGTTTTTAGTTGTTTTAGTTTTAATTCTCTTCTTTCATGAATGTTCACTTAATTTCGAGAAGGTGGTTCTTGTAATTACTGGGCAGCTCGTCATTTTGGTTAAAAATAATCATTTGTGGAATAATTCCGTTCCCTACTATAACGACTTTTGGTATTTTAAATTATACTAGGTCAATTAAGTATCATTCTTTTTATTATACCGAGATAATTAGCGTAAATTTAAGACAAAAACCCCAAACCAGATAAGCACGAGATTAAAAAAACTAATACATGTGTATGAACTGGATTTTGCATTTCCGGGTAGTCAGTTTGACGTCAATGAGTTTTTTCCTGGAATTAACTTAATTAACTTCGTATTCTTCTTTGTTTCTTCTTTTTTGCAGAAATTCTTGTTTATTTGTTGACCCTGCAGTCCTTGTGTTTTTTTTTTTAGTCGTTTTGCTTAAATTATGTTGGCAACACCAACGCGTTCCCTGTTCAGCTTGACAGTTAAGTGTCTATAGACTGTCAAATAGCAGAAATGCCAACTTCAGTATTTTAAAAATAAAATTCATAACGTACTAGAAACCTTTCTTCGAATATATGGTATTTCTTCCCCAAATCCCGTGTTTTTTTTTTTGGTGCTTTATTTAATCTTTACGTGGTTTAATTATGCCATTTTGTTATTTCAATATCTTCAAATATTTAACTTTTAGGATTTAAAACCCACAAATGAATAACGAATTTTTCCTAAACTAATTTTAAATTTGATTTTTTGGCGACAAATTTTCGTAATTTTAATTATTTAGACGATTTGGATAATCGGCGAATTGTAATCATTCTGTATATTTATGGTTTGTTTTAAGTGATTTAAAGAAAAGTAAAATGAAATTCATACAGGGTGATGTTTTTTAAAATTTTTCGTCAGTCTGAGATAATTAATAAAAATTAAAAGTGTGCAGTTTTTAATAATCTAATATTGTTCTTAGATTGTACACTGACTTCGTATTCCTTTTTGTTTCTTCTTTATTTCCAGAATTTCTTTTTTAATATTTTCTTTATTATTTGTTTTTCCCTTCTGTCAAAATATGTTTTCTTCAATTTTCTTTGTCGCTTTGATCTAGTTCTTCCTCTGTTTTTTTATTGTTTTACTTTTAATTCTCTCATTTTATGTTTCATCTTTTATTTTTTTTTGTGTAATTTTCAGCTAATTTTTGTTTTTTTTTCCTTTTCATATAATATAATCGGGAAGAAATCGTCTAGAAAACACTGAAAATTAATGTTAAAAAAATTATGTTGGCAACCCCAACGCGTTCCCTGTTCGGTTCGACAGTTAAGTGTCAAATAAACTGTCAAATAGCTGTAATGCCAACTTCAGTATTTTAAAAATAAATTTCATGATGTACTAGAAACATTTTTTCGAATATATGGTATTTCTTGTCCAATATCCCGTGTTTTTTTGGCGCTTTATTTAATCTTTACGTTGTTTCATTATGCCATTTTGTTATTTCAATATCATCAAATATTTAACTTTTGAAATTTAAAACCCTCAAATTAATAACGAATTTTTCCTAAACTAATTTTAAATTTGACTTTTTCGCGACAAATTTTCGTAATTTTATACGAAAATAAAAAGTGTGCCGCTTCTTTCAAATGAGGAATCTGAGTTTTGGTATGTGACAGATTTGACGCTAGTCGAGTTCATTATCACGACGAAGCAAAAATTATTTAGCCGATTTGGATAATCGGCGAATTGTAATCATTCTGAATATTTATGCTTTGTTTTAAGTGATTTAAAGAAAAGTAAAATGAAATTCATACAGGGTGATGTTTTTTCAATTTTTCGTCAGTCTGAGATAATTAACAAAAATTAAAAATGTGCAGTTTTTAAAAATCTAATATTGTTCTTAGATTGCACACTGACTTCGTATTCCTTTTTGTTTCTTCTTTATTTCCAGAATTTTTTTTTATATTTTCTTTATTATTTAATTTTCCCTTCTGTCAAAATATGTTTTCTTTAATTTTCTTTGTCGCTTTGAACTAGTTCTTCCTCTGTTTTTTTATTGTTTTACTTTTAATTCTCTCATTTTATGTTTCATCTTTTTATTTTTTTGTGTAATTTTCAGCTAATTTTTGTTTTTTTTTTTTCTTTTTCATATAATATGATCGGGAAGAAATCGTCTAGAAACCACTGAAAATAAATTTAAAAAAAAATATGTTGGCAACAGCAACGCGTTCCGAGTTCGGTTCGACAGTTAAGTGTCAAATAAACTGTCAAATAGCTGTAATGCCAACTTCAGTATTTTAAAAATTAATTGCATGACGTACTAGAAAACTTTTTTCGAGTATATATGGTATTTCTACTCCAATATTCCATGTTTTTCTTTGGTGCTTTATTTAATCTTTACGTTGTTTTATTATGCCATTTTGTTATTTCAATATCTTCAAATATTTAACTTTTGGGATTTAAAACCCACAAATTAATAACGAATTTTTCCTAAACTAATTTTAAATTTGACTTTTTGGCGACAAATTTTCGTAATTTTATACGAAAATAAAAAGTGTGCCGCTCCTTTCAAATGAGGAATCTGAGTTTTGGCATGTGACAGATTTGACGCTAGTCGAGTTCATTATCACGACGAAGCAAAAATTATTTAGCCGATTTGGATAATCGGCGAATTGTAATCATTCTGAATATTTATGGTTTGTTTTAAGTGATTTAAAGAAAAGTAAAATGAAATTCATACAGGGTGATGTTTTTTCAATTTTTCGTCAGTCTGAGATAATTAACAAAAATTAAAAATGTGCAGTTTTTAAAAATCTAATATTGTTCTTAGATTGTACACTGACTTCGTATTCCTTTTTGTTTCTTCTTTATTTCCAGAATTTCTTTTTTAATATTTTCTTTATTATTTGTTTTTCCCTTCTGTCAAAATATGTTTTCTTCAATTTTCTTTGTCGCTTTGATCTAGTTCTTCCTCTGTTTTTTTATTGTTTTACTTTTAACTCTCTCATTTTATGTTTTATCTTTTTATTTTTTTTTTTGTGTAATTTTCAGCTAATTTTTGTTTTTTTTTTCCTTTTCATATAATGTGATCGGGAAGAAATCGTCTAGAAACCACTGAAAATTATTGTTAAAAAAATTATGTTGGCAACACCAATGCGTTCCCTGTTCGGTTTGACAGTTAAGTGTCAAATAGACTGTCAAATAGCAGAAATGCCAACTTCAGTACTTTAAAAATAAAATTCATAACGTACTAGAAATCTTTCTTCGAATATATGGTATTTCTTCTCCAATATCCCGTGTTTTTTTTTTGTTTTATTTAATCTTTACGTTGTTTCATTATGCCATTTTGTTATTTCAATATCTTCAAATATTTAACTTTTGAAATTTAAAACCCACAAATTAATAACGAATTTTTCTAAACTAATTTGATTTTTTTGGCGACAAATTTTCGTAATTTTTTAAGAAAATAAAAAGTGGGCCGCATCGGACAGATTTGGGGCTAGTAGAGTTCATTATCAAAACAAGGCACAAAATACACGGCCACCTTGGATAGTCGGAAATTTGTAAAAATTATGAGTATCTATAATTGATTTATATTTTTCTATTATCGCTAAATAATTCTAGAATGACATTTAACGTTTTAGAAACAAATTTAATTTTTTGACAATACTTAAACAAATGATCAAACGTTAAGCATTAACACATCTTACATTTATTACATCACTTATATTAGTGAACACATTATCAAGTTTATTATTATTGCGATATTAGCACGATATTTGTAGCCTTAAACCGAGCCTTGTTAAGACCGCTGACAACCTATCAACAATTTGCCAAAATCGCGCTCGGCCAATAAAAACCCGCCACATACTCAACCCAGCTGACCCCAATTCCTCAACTTTTTAGTACCTCTCGTCCTAAATCTCTCGCCTGCTGCGCCTTACTGCCCCATATAGATATCCGAAATGGGCCGAAACGGAAATTTT